CTCTGAAACAAGGAGGACCCTTTCTTTATTATGTTTGGGGGGTGTGGTTAGGAGTTGTGGAGCAGGGAATGGAGGAGGTGTGATGGAGGGCTGTCTGGATGACAGAGGGGGGAAAAGAGCATTGTTTGAAAAGGCAGATATCTGGGGTGCTTGGGAGTGGAATGTCTCCTCGTCAGAGTAGATGCAACGGAGACGAAGGAATTGGGAAAATGGGATGGAGTCTTTGCAGGACACAAGGTGGGAAGAGGTGTAGTCTAGGTAGCTATGGGAATCTGTGGCTTTATAGCAAATGGCGGTACGTAAGCTGTTGCCAGAAACGGAAACAGAGAGATCAAGAAAGTGGAGGGAGGTGTCTGAGAGTGAGTGTGAATGAGTGACTGTATGAGTGAGTGATTGAATGTATAAGGTGAGTAAATGAGGAAGTGAGTGCATTCGTGAGTGAGTGAGTGCTTGAGTAGTTACAGGTAAACAGCAGGCCCTGTAGGAAACCGAGGAAGTGAACGCTGTTGCTTTGTTCCTGGAGCAGACGGTCAGAGACGTTTGGCAGAATGCCTCATTACCAGAACTGAATAAGAAGTATCAAAGTTGTAGTTTGGCTAGCATTAGGAAAGATCCTTCCTGTCAGAGCCTTTCCACAGGTCCAGAGTCAAAATCCTTCCACACACTGCCCTCAAGATGGCTGTCAAAGAGGCCTAAACAGTCCCCACTCAACACCATCCTCCTCTACCTCACTGAGCATGTTCTCATTCAAACATTTCTTTGAACAAGTTGTCTCCATGAACTCTGTTCTCTTCTTTATTATCTCCATCTAGTGTCTTGTTTGCACTGTATTCATCCCAAAAAAGAGGACGTAATTTCTGTTATTAATACCAATCGTTAACATTTCCTGTTTATCCACCATCTCTTCTTTCCCTTCATGAGGACTCCCTTTAACTTTTGATGTGAGCCACTTTCACCATCTCTTCCAGTTGCTTCTTTTCCCATTGTTTTCTACAGCATTAAAATCATCACATTCCCTGCCACCTCCAATTCCAAAGAAGGATTGTATTAAACATTAACACAGTTTCTCTCTCGACAGATGCTGCCTGACCTGCTGAGTTTTGCTGGCATTTTCTGTTTGTATTTCAGATCTCCACCATCCACAGTATTTTGTGTTTATTTTAGTTGGGAAGAGACAACTATCCTTGTGGAATGTGCTTGTGCAACGAGCGTTTGGAGAGAGATCCAGTGAATTTTGTCAAGCTTCATCCCAAGTTGCTCCATGATGCGGGACTCTCTGCTCTGCGGGCAATTCCCATTGGTGCACACTGAGACAAACATCAGCTGTGACTTGTTGAAACTTGCTGAAAGGTGCTCTTTCTTCTGCTCGAAACTCTCAGGAACTTGAATGCAAAGAGTTGTCCTCTAGCGGGTGTTGCAGATTGGCACACTATAATGTCCATGACTATGTGCTGAGGGCTGCACTATAGCTTAGAGCAACTGCCACAGTGTAAAGAAAAAGTTGTCTTTCGGCAATAGTACACCGAGGGGCTGGAAACTGCAGAACCCCTCCGTCTGTGTACTTGACAAGGAACATATTTGTGAATATTAAGAGTATTGAAATTATATTGAGGCATCTAAGAATGGAACATGGCAGATAGTGAACAATTTATTTTGACTGCACCTCCTGTAATTTCCAATTTGAAATGTTTTGCCCACAGACTGTATGCCTGATGTGAAATGTATGCCATCAACATCGAGAGTATTGAAATTATCGACACATAAGAGTGGAACATGCTTCATGGAGACAAATTGAAATTTATTACGTCTTCCATAATTTACATGTCTAACTGTTTTGTAATGTACTTTTACAAATGTTGTCAATAAAGTATAGGTTTAGAAATTTTTTTTATCATTATCATGAGGCTTGGAATCTGCAATACTTGATCATGAACAACTGTTCATTCATGGGATGTGGGCATCACTGGCCAGGCCAGCATTTATTGACCATGCCCAATTGCCCTAGTGGGTAGTTAAAAGTCAACCACATTTCTGTAGGTCTGGAGTCATATGTAGACCAGACCAGGTAAGGATGGCAGTTTCCTTCCCTAAAGGACATCAGTGAACTAGATGGGGTTTTTTTTCCTGACAATTGACAATGGTTTTGTGGTCATCATTAGACTCTTAATTTCAGACTTTTATTAGATTCAATTTCCACCATCTGCTGATTTGAACCCAGGCCCCCAGAACATTACCTGGGTCTCTGGATTAATAATCCAATGATAATACCATTAGGTCATCACCTCTCCCTACATGCTGAGGGACACGTTAAACACACCAAAGAGGTGTACTGAGGGGAAAGAGCATTGTCTAAATTCTTTTAGGCTGTGCATATTTAACCTGTAAAGAAGATTATAAATATTGTCAATTGTTGTAAATGCAATAAGTAGCATACGGCATAGGAAGAACCGGTTTTGATTTTGCATCTTATGTAATGTCAACTTTGTATGGTTGTGTAATGTGCCTTTATTAATCTTATGAATGAAGAATATTTTTGGAAGACATATTGTTGAAGTATAAAGGATTAATGATTAAACTCATTGTTCATGTGCATCATTGGGTGATGTCAGATCATATGTAGCCAGAACCTGAGACAGAAAAGTTCTGATGAAGTTGTGCAGCAGTCTACTATGTTAAAGTAACCAAGTCAAACAAAATGAAAATGAACAGCCCTTTAAAAGCATGGTAACAAAAGGCGCCAGAGAAACTAACTCAGTGTCCATTAGAAAGTGAACATTCCAAAGAGTGACTGATCACCCGCCAGGGTGAGTTTGGGATCTGGAAACATTTCCAACTGCTATTTCCCATCCCCAGTATGAACCACCTCTTTTTTCTCATAATACAAAGTAAATCACTTTTACCTTCCCTGCTCAGCCTCACAATGACTTGTATTTCTAACCTGTTGCCATCAGAATACAGATATCACCATCTCACCAAAGCCACCTTAATTTGCAAACATTCACAGAGTGTGATGGCTGAACCTTCAAATTTCAACAATAATCTGCCACAGCTTAGTTTCAGCTTTTTTGTTTATCACTGTGTTTACTCTTTTTACTAGCTACCTTATTTGCTCCAGCACCTAGGCTACTTCGACTGGATGGTCCCTGTGTGACGTGAGATCACTTACTGGAAGATTCTCTTCTCATCTGTCCCTGCCTCTTCCTCTATCAATCTGATGGAAAAGCCTTTGGAGTCATAGAACCCCCACAGTGTGGAAGCAGGCCCATCGACTCCACACCAACCGTCTGAAGAGCATCCCACCCAGACCTACTACCTACCCAATCCCTGCAATCCTGCATTTCCCATGGCTAACCCATCTAACCTGCATATCCCTGGACACTACGGGCAATGTAGCATGGCCAATCCACCTAGCCTGCACAGCTTTGGCCTCTGGGAGGAAACCCACGCAGACACGGGGAGAATGTGCAAACCCCACACAGATGGTCATCTGAGGGTGGGATTGAACCAGGGTCCCTGGCGCTGTGAGGCAGCAGTGTTAGCAACTGATCCATCATGCTGTCCCTCTTACTTTGTTGATCTGTGGAATAAGGAAAATGGAGGCACAATACAAGGCTCCATAGAGAAAAGAAGCAACATAAGAGTGTGCAACCTCATTGGCAGCTGTTCAAACAATATGAAAAAGACCATTCGGTCCAACACATCCATGCTGACCAGATATCCTAAATTGATCTAGTCCCATTTGCCAGCATTTGGTCCATATTCCTCTAAACCCTTCCTATTCGTGTACCCATCCAGATACCTTTTAAATGTTGTAATTGTACCAGCCTCTACTACTTCCTCTGGCAGCTCAATCCATATACGCATCACCCTCTGTGTGAAAAAGTTGCTCCTTAGGTCCCTTTTATATCTTTCTCCCCTCACCTTAAACCTATAGCCCCTAGTTTTGGATTCCCCTATCCTGGGGAAAAGACCTTGCCTATTCACCCTATGCATGACCTTTGTGATTTTCTAACCCTCTATGAGGTCACCCTTCAACCTCCAATATTCCAAGTAAAATAGCCCCAGCCTAACCAGCTTCTCACCATGGTTCAAACCCTCCAATCCCAGCAACATCCTTGTAATTTTTTTCTGCACTCTTTCAAATTTAACAATATACTTCCTATAGCTGGGAGGCCAGAATTGAATGTAGTATTCTAAAAGTGGCCTAACCAGTGTCCTGTACAGTCGCAACATGACCTCCCAACTCCCGTACTCGATGCCCTGCCCTGACCAATAAAGGCAAGTGTACCAAATGCCTTTTTCACCACCCTGTCTACCTGCGACTCCACCTTCAAGGAACTATGAACCTGCACCCTAAGAACTCTGTTTGGCAGCACACCCTTGACCCTATCACTCAGATTTAATGCAGCAGTAGAAAACCAGAGAGTTAAAATGGTTCAGTATTTTCAATTCAGTAAAACTATACAATAAGAATGTATTTTTTTAATGCCTTAACTTTTTATCAAGTTGAATCGTTTATGTCGATCGCACTTGGAGAACGACGTTACCAGTTGTAAAAGGAGGGAGAGGTTTAATGAAATGGTCACGCAGTAATAATGTTAGCATTCTTTTCATTTTTGTGCTCCCTAAAAAGTTCGATTTCTAAAATGACTAACGTTCTAATATAAAAGTGGCAGTTTTATTGTTTCTCAGACAGTGAAAGAACAAATTGCAGCACGAAGTTCCAAAATTAAAGCAGCAATGAGGACAAAGAATGTTTTATGATCTTCTTCATTCCTGAGAAGCAGGTCCATCAAAATAGATTAGTCTCCTGATGCCAAACCCACAATTGAAGCTGAGAGCAGGTGATAAAAGACATTAATAATTATCAAATTTTCCTCAGTTAATCAAGCATTCTGCTGACAGAACAATCTGCAGTGTACACACTTTCAGGTGATGGTGCTAAAGGTTCAGTATAAAAGCATCTAGTCAACTACAGCACCTTCCACTTTATTCGGACCCTCTTCTGGCTGCCTGTTCTCAGTCAGAGACAGTGTGCTCTTGTGCTGTGCAGCATTATCTGTCTCTGATCCACAATGCCAAGGCTCGTTTTACCAAATCCAGGCTTGGAAGATCGAATTCCCTCCTATGAAGAACTGGAGAGGAGGGAAGTAGAGGAAGCAGATGACCGACCCAAATGGGACAACAAAGCTCAGTACATGCTAACATGTGTTGGATTTTGTGTGGGATTAGGAAATGTGTGGCGTTTCCCCTATCTCTGTCAGAGCCATGGAGGAGGTATGTAGCATAATACAATCTGCAAGTGATGCAAAGAAACACTTGTATGGGCATTTTCTGCATTCGTTTCAATAGACTCTGATCGCAAAGTGTGTCTATTAAATTGAACAGTACAATACAGATTGATAACAATTCTAAAGTGTAAGATGGACATAAAGAAGTTATCGCACAGTGATTGCTAGCCAACATAATTTTCCTGAAGTGTGAAAAATGTGAACTCGTCTGAGTTCACTAGAATAGATAGATAGATAGAGTGGACAGCCAGAGACTTTTTCCTAGGGTGGAGGTAGCTATGACGAGGGGGCATAGTTTTAAAGTGAGTGGAGGTAGATATAGGGGAGACGTCAGAGGTAGACTCTTTACTCAGAGAGTGGTAGGGGCGTGGAATGCATTGCTGGAGAGGGTAGTGGAGTGGGCATCATTAGGGGCATTTAAGCGGCTATTAGATAGGTATATAGATGATAGTATAAGGTAGGGGTGGAGGTTAGAAAGACCTTAGGATTAGGGTATAGGTTCGGCACAACATCGTGGGCCAGAGGGCCTGTACTGTGCTATACTGTTCTATGTTCTATGTTATAGAACATAGAACATAGAACATTACAGCGCAGTACAGGCCCTTCGGCCCTCGATGTTGTGCCGACCTGTGAAACCGACCTATGTTCTAACCTATTAATTTAGCAGCTTATGTTTCCAACTAAATGATCAGCTTCATTTTTTAATGCAACTCAGGAACAGTCAGCAAGGTGCTGGCTGTGACTTTTCATTTGCAAAAGTAATTCCGTGGTAGATAACATGAGAACAGGAGGTACAACCCAGCAGTTTGGCTTTCTTGAGATTTGTTGGTGCCTCTCATAAGACTGTAAATAGCAAAGTTAGCATCAGCAATATTTCTGGTAATCTCAAAGATCTGCTGAGTAACTCTGTGAGATTTATTAATAATGCAAGAGGATAGAAAAGAAATATCCAATGTGTTTGCACAAGGTTGAAGTGATTTTAAGGGAGCCAGTGCACCCAGATCATTCCCTAATGTGCTATTCATTGTGTTCCTGTGGTGTTTACATGTTGCTGCAGAGGTGTTTATTTTGGGAAGGACTATTACGGTAAAATTTTAAAATGACCCCAAGTTAAAATTCAATGTACTCTGCTGTGTATATTTCAATTGAATTTCCGAGTAAAAAATGGTCCACTGCAGCAAAATAATGTATTTGTCTCAAGACTGGCTAGGCATTTACAGTTTGGGGTATTAAACAAAACAAAAGATGTGTGCACATTGTTGATGAAGGAACTGGCATCATCAGGAAAATGGACTAAAATTGAATTTGGACTAAAATGGAGCAGAATGTAAATAATTCTGGCAATTTCTAAACTTAAACCAGGGATAGATTTGATGGGCCAAATGACCTCATTATGTGCCATAAATGATTTGATTAGCTAGATGTTATAGCTCACTGGCAGCAGGGTTGCAGGCTCAGGGAGCTGTAAAATGTTATTAGCAGCCTCACACTGCCTACCCTCCCACACCCTCTAACCCCTGCCCTCACTGCAATTGGAGCAGCGGCAGGGAAGGTGTAAGGCAGCCTAGCTTCCCTGGACAAATTAAGACCCTTAGGAGTTATGCCACATCTGGGATTCGATCAGTGGCAGAAGAGCTAAGAATCCTCTCTATAGCTTTCAACATGCTGGCTGTTCACAGGCTACAGGGGCAGTCCTTAATGGTCACCCCAGGCTCATCAGAGGGTCTTTCCACCTACCCAATTCCACAATATCCTGGCCTATCTACCCTGCACACTCCCACTTCACCCTCAACCAATCCACTCACTGTGGCCTTCCAGAAAGACCCTAATATCCTAACTCTGGCTCCAGCTCCTTAGTATTGGGCACTGTTGTAGTTCCAGAAGTGTCCATTGCTCCTGGTTTTGCTGCTGGGACCAGTGAGCTGGGAGCCATTTGATTGGCCAGCAACTATCCCTGCCCCAATGGGAGGCATGTCCTGACTTAAGCCAATCAATGTAGAGACAACTGCTGAATGCCTGTGAAACCCAACAGAGCAGGGGTGAGCTCACCAGTGACATTTTCACCTGATGGTCAGGTCACCGTTGCCCTGTGCTAACTCTATGACTTTAATATGAAGAGGTAGGAAAATTACTCATGGGGAAAAGTTTCTTCACACCCACTCAAGGAAAATCTCAACAGCAAAACAAGAAGCACGAAATATCCTTTGATTTCTCTCTGGTGTAATTTAGAAGAAAAAGTTTAGTCTATTTCATCTGCACCAGTTTTTCCCCTGAGAAAGCTGGAATTAATTCTACTCTCATGTGCTTTTCCTGTAATCCTATATCTTCCTCACTGCGTGAATTTACCTAATTTCACTCACAGCTCCAATTGTCTCAACAACAATTAGACCCTGTGAATAAGCAGAGATTTTGGGATTGTTCCCTTCCCAACCCCCACCATTTTTTTCTCTCCTGTTGACTCAAGCCGGGGTAAGGATCCACAAGAGCCAGTCACCCTCTTGCAACTCAACTTGTGCACATTGTATTAAGATATTTTCTGGAAGGAGTCACTACGTAGCAGCAAAGGCAAAGTCTGACTGTTTTCTTCCTCTCTCTGGTCAAGGGATGATATAGGCCATATATCAGAATTACCCATCCCCAAGTCAACCAGAACAATCAGTAAATCAGGTCAACCAACTCAACACAAAACATGATCGATCCTTCCAGATAACTTCCAGATCTGTCTTGTCCTTTTCCACATTAGACAACCTATTCAACCATGGAAGCCATCATTCTGCAGGCAACTTTCAACCTTGGCTGAAAATAAACAGGCTGATTGGTGACTTACCCAAGGCCTTTTTCCCAATTTCGACTGGGTTATAGCAAAACGGAACTTAGAAGTGTAGTAACACCAGAGTGTGTTACATACTTAAATAACATTACTTTCTGTAAATAAATGCAATTAATGCTTCAAAATTTAAATAAAATTAAAGCAGAATACCCTACAGATGCTGGAGATCTTAAATGACAAGAGCAGCAACTTAATTAATTGAATTTTAATTAAACTTAATTCTGGGGTGAAGTGCTTGAAAAATACAACAGACTGGCAGTAAGAGGGTTAATGTTTTAAGGCCAATATGGGTCTTCTTTGGAATTCGTAGAAATCATACCAACCTCAAAGTGTCAATCCTATTTCCCTCTCTACAGATTCTGCTGGATCTACTCAGTTTCTCCAACATTTCCTGTTTTTATTTTAAAATTTAGAGATCACCCATTACTCAAGCTTTTAGCTGGAATTTCCATTTGTGGAATAAGCTGCAGCTTGAGAGCAATAACTGTGAGGCCAGTGGAATGTCTCAGGACACCAATTTGTTCCAGAAATAAATTCAAGGGAATATCAAAACTTAGTGCTGAAAGGTAATTTTTATTCAGGGATGTGGACACCATTGACCAGGCCAATAATTGTTGTCTATTTTTAATTGTCCTCGAGAAGGTGCTCAATGTAAAGAAAATGCAATCAAATGTGAGAAAGTTTCAGGATAAAATGCATTTTGCAATATTAGCAATGGACTTCTATATCCATATGAAATTATTTTACATGCAATCTTAAAGAAGTTTAAAAAAGAGGTCAGATAGTGCTGCTGAATGAAGAATTTCATATCGGTTCATCACGTAAGCAATGCAGCACTAATTATAGATCTATCACCTCAAACCTCTTATGGTCCGGAATATCCAGTTCACTGCGATAACTTCATTTGAAATGGACAGAAGCATGACTATTCATGTAAGCCACCTTCTGTCAAACTTCCGGTCAAATTGGAGTGGACGCGTGAGAGTAACTCCAAAGAAAATCTGGGTTTTTACCTATTTGTGCTGGAAAGATAGGTGGATTAAGTTTAACAATATTTATCTGAACATAACATTCCTGAGAGCTAAATGGGCTCTTTGTCGTCCCTCGAATTCCCAGTTTTACATTGAGAGATGGTAGGAACTGCCGATGCTGGAGTCTGAGATAACAAGGTGTAGAGCTGGATGAACACAGCAGGCCAGGCAGCATCAGAGGAGCAGGAAAGCTGACGTTTTGGGCCTAGGCCCTTCTTCAGAAAAATGAAGAAGGGTCTTTTCTGAAGAAAGGTCTAGGCCCAAAACGTCAGCTTTCCTGCTCCTCTGATGCTGCCTGGCCTGCTGTGTTCATCCAGCTCTACACCTTGTTATCCCAGTTTTACATTGTTCTTTTGAGAATTTACATTATTATTTTTGGTGTTATGAAGTGTAATTACAATTTTTTTTAAAAGTTTCTTAATACTCAGAAGATTTACTGTGCCTTTGAGACCAAAGAAGGCGGAGGAAGGAAGCAAAAGTGGTTTTGGTATTTAATAGGAAGCCTTAAAACACCAGGTTTAGACAAGGGTTCGGTGACTTCACAGGCTTTTGTTTTTATGCTGCACAGCATGTAGAATTAAAATTTAACAAAACAAAGGCTCTTACTTGTGCTATTTTTTGTAAGTTGGTATCTATCAGTAAACACAAGCATTGTTACAAGGCTGTAGAATAAGGCACAGTATCTCGAAAGATAGTAGGTATCTAAGAACATCCACTGCAGTTGCACAATAGAAAACATTATAATCAGAGCAGTGAAGGCAAGGGGAAATTTAATGATAGTATATGGTATTTTGAAGGTTTAGATAAAGTAGTTAGAGAGAAAGTATGTCCAAGGACCAGAGGGCTGGTAACCAAAGGCTGTAGATTTAAGATAATTGCCAAGATAACACCAGGCAATGTGAGGAGGACTTTATTTTAATGCAGCATTTTGTTATGATGTGGAATACACTGACAGAAAAGGTGAGGAAGGCAGATTCAGTTGAGTGGCCCTGGGGGAACCCAAACTGAGTGCTACTGAGCAGATTATTGCTGAGCAGGTGCTACTTGATAGCACTGTTGATGACAGCTTCCATCACTTTACTGATGATCGAGAGTAGACTGATGGGGCGGTAATTGGCCGGGTTG